ACCAAGCAGTGGGAAGCGTGTTGGGGCTGTGCATCGCCGTGTGGCACCACATGGGTGCCCCGCGCCCTCCCGTGCCCACCGTGCATGGGTCCCAGCGACATCCCTGGGGCAGCGCATTCCCATCACAGGGTCTGAGCAGAGGGAAGCCATGGGACTCTCCATAGGGTTCAGGTCCAAAATTACAATGGACCGTGGAAACCTGCTGACAGGGCTGGGAAAGGACCCCAGGGTCCAGGCACACATCCTGAACGGTGATGGCAGCCAACACAGCCATGCAGCCTTACCGAGCGCTGCGGTGAAATGGGTGCAGGCAGCTCCGCTTGCCCGGTGGCTCTTAGGGGCAGCTGCACGTTTCCATTTCCCCAGGCTCAGGCCAGCCTGGATGTCTTTAATTGCCCAAAGGTCGGCATCCTCGAGCCCGGGGCCACGTGTCGGAGGGACCCCGGGCAGGAACCTGACACGGACACGAGTCATTCAGGATCAACGCTGGGGGCCAGGAAATTGCAACGGACACAAACCTAAATACACTGCATGTCCCCTCAGGTAATCAGGGGCCGGGCCAGATTCCGGCTGACAGCTTAAATGCCTTAATTCCTTGGCCGCTGCGGTTCGAGGGGGTCCCGTGTGCTGTGGGCTTCTCCCAAATGGTCTTTGAGCTGGAGATTTGTCTGTAATTGGAGGCACGTTGCATTCCCCTGAAAGTAGCCAGGTCCCACTGGAGGGGGGCTGCGGGAAGGCAGCAATTTCCCTTATGGACTTATTTACCTGATTAGAGAGTTTATTTTATCAAAATTGCTTCAGAATGGGGCCACTCGGTGTGTCCAGCATGGGGAGCTCCCCAGTGGGGCTGGCAGCCTGGAGACAGGTAATTTGTGTGGTTAATGGGACTAATCCACCAGGCAATTGCACCAATAGATTTCATGGCTGCAAAGTGCTCTGTTCCCATTAATTAAAAATCTGTTAAGAAGATTAGCATGTAAAGGTATCAAAAGAAACCCAAGAGTTTCTTTCCCCACCGGCCCCCAAAGGCGAGTGTGGGAGTGCTGGATTGCTCGCATTAGCACAAAAATTATTCTTTTAAAGGTAAGGACTTCATATCCAAAGTAACTGCTGACAGTTTTCCCTGACTTCCCTACCCAGAGGTCCTTTATGTTTAATTATAGTTTGTTTAAATTAGCCTTGATTGTTCGCGTGGAGTGTTAGCTTAAATATATTTTGAACTCGTGGTTCCCCTGTGCCCTGCCAGTGTGGTGCGAGGAGGGCAGCCTCCGGCCAAGCCCTGTGTCCCGGCAGGTGCCCCCGCCGCGGGGCTGATGCTTGGGGCTGCCCGGGAGGAGACGGGGGTCCGGGGGGAGGTCTGACCCCGGCATCCCCTGGTTGAGATGGTCACACCAGAGCAGGAGCCGGGGACGGCGGTACCCACCGTCGGCAGGGGCTCAGCTGCCAAACCCAGCCCTGCAGCAGTGTTGGGCACCTCCCCGGCCTGGTGGTCTGCCCAGACCCCACCAGTGGCTTCTCTGCCGGCAGGAGCCCCGTACCGTCACCACCTGCACCCCACGGACACCCCGCTCCTGTCCCCCCGCTGCCGCTGCCGGCCAGCCCGGCACTGCTCAGCCTCTCGCTCGGCAGCCGGTGCCGTTCCTGGCCTTTGTCCACAGTCAGACACTGAGCAAAACAAAAGCAAATTCCCCGGCAGCTGAAGGTGCCATTTTTATGGCTCGGCTGAACGAGGAAGTATTTTTTGATCTCTTAAAAATCCTGAATATTATCTGACAGTTTATCTTGTTTCTCCGCATCCGTGTCTTTGCAGCAACGCCAGCTCATTTACATGTGTATTGCGCCTGCCTCCACGGGTGCTGAGGTCAATTGAAACTCAAGAAAAGAGGAGAAATTTATGCAAAACTGTTGATTGCATTTGTATGTAATGAAATCATCCAATATTCATCTGACTATAGACTCTAATCTGAAAGGAGAAGTGAAGGACATAAGAGTCACTGGAAAGCAATAATGAGCTTCTGTAGTGATTAAAAAAGCACTTGAGCTTTCTGAAAATCCAGCCAGAAATCGTGTCTAATCAACATGGAATATAGGAGGCAGAGATTACATTGATACATTTTGCAAAGCTCACTGTTGAAAATGTATGCGAGCTGTAAACTCTGACATGCCATCCATGGTCTGTTTTATACAAATCCGGGCGGCACACAATCAGCGCCCGGGCTCATCCCTGGCACAAAGCAATCTTGGTGTCTCTGCTCGATGACTCACAAGGAGCGCAATCACATCTATTTTGAAGAGCAATGTTGGTTTTTAACTATGTCGAGAGCTTCCAGCTTCCTCGGAGTTTTTCCCCTTCCTTTCGCCTCCGCTTCGCGTTTCCCTGCGGCCGTGGGGCTCAGTCCAGGAGGTGGTGGGAGGCTGGCGCCCGCCCTGGTCCCTGCCACCACCTCCTTGGTGCAGCTGCCCCACTTCAGCAGCTCAGAGCAAACCCAAATGTCCCGGCAGAGCCGAATGCGGCCATCCCAGCAGCCCCGGGGAAGGGCAGGTCTCTGCCTGGGATGCGATGAGCGGGGATGTGCGCGGGGGTATCACACGTGCCCGGCGTACAACCTCCTCGGGGACCACCTGCCCACCCACCAGGCCATAGCAGCGCTTGCCAGGTGGGAAACCAACGGTGCCCCAAATCCACACGTGCTGTTGGGAGAGGGCTCCTGGCAAGCGCAGCAGGACGTGGAGAGCCCAGGACACAGCTCGAGGGGGTCTGGACACAGCCCTCCCTCACCCCCCCCTGCCCTGACCTGCACCACCCAGAGGCATTTGCTGCTGAGGCCAAACCGTTCAGTGGCCAAAGCAGCAACGCTGACATCAGATCCACTTCACACCCAGCCCAACTGTTTTCTAGCCCACGGTCCCTTTCACTCCGGGGTTATTTGGTGCAGCTGGAGCTCCTTTCCCACCCGCCAACAGCATCAGCTGCAGCTTCTTATCAGCTCTGGGTGGAATCCAGGCTGGAACCAAGTGAGAGGTTCCTGCTGATGCTGGTGGAGGAAGCTTTTGGAGCAGGCAGGCCTTGTGCTGCAGCTCCCGGTGCAGAGCACCAGAGCAGCAGTCGGTTTGTGCAGCAGAAGTGGGACCCATCCAGAGCCACCCTGTGTGCCAGCTGTGGTCACGGTGAATGTCCATCCTCTCTTCTCCTGACTGGTTTACAATGGTCCTCAGCAGGCGGGGGGTGGCCTCCCGGGCCAGCATGCTGCCACGCACCCGGCCGTGCTCGGTGGGTGCTGCCGCAGTCCTGCGTGGCTGGAAGGTGCTGGGGCTGTAGCTGGTGCTTTTGTCCGTTTGTCCTGCGGTGCAAAGTCCCACACTGAGCAGGACAGCCTGCGGTGGCCACAGATCTGCGGGTTCACGCGCTGCCTGCGCTGCTTTGCTGGTACCAGGGGTGAGAGCAGCATCCCTGGGTGCTGCGGCTGCTCCTGGCTGGTGCAGAGCACGGAGGGGTGAGGTGAGGACCCAGGCAAAAGGATTCCCCAAACCCTCCCCTGCCATGGGGCTGTCACTGGTGGCCACTCGGAGAACAGGTCTTTGCCTTTCTTCACATTTAAAAGCTGTTTTTGCACCTGGTTTTGCTTCACCAGTGTGGCAGCCCTGGACCCCCTTCCCGCTGCCTCCCAAAGGCGCGGGGCACGGCTGTGTTGGGGACGGGCGGCTCCATCCCCAGCCTGGCGCTGGTGCAGTTTTACCACTAGGTTTTAATTCACGTGAGGTGGAGTGAGATGCTACAGGGCAAGGAATAGCAGTAAATACTTGGGAAATTCCTCTGTGCAATGACCCCCTACAGCCCCGCTGCCTGTCTCCAGCAGCCCACCCTCCCTCCACCATCCCGTTGCCACCACCTCCAAGACTCGGAGAATGGGCAGAGGCCAGAGAAGCCGCCATGGGCAGCACCAGCCCTGCCTGTGCCTGCACCAGAAGCAGCTTCTCCACCTGCCCTGGCTTCAAGAAACACCCAGCTCAGCAGCTGCTGCTCCTGGGCAGGTACCAGGGAAACTGTGGCTGGGATGTTGAGGCTGCAACAACGGCAAAAAAAGCCTAGTTGATAAATGTCAAAAGAAATACAGTAATCGGCTGAAAGCAATTTACCAAGCCATGTAACCGCCCTGGGCTCGCCATTTTCCTTTATTCATTTATCATGGTAAGCTCTTTGGCCAAAATACACAAAGCAGAGAAATTGTTGACATGTGGGGCCCTAGCAGAGCAAATCCTTCATCCTCCTCCCCCTCCCCACTGCACACAAACTAACTTTTTGGGAGTTGTTTATTTAAGGACTGCAGAGCACTTGGTGCTCTTTGAACCCAAATGCCGTGGGAGTGGGGCTGGCCACCACCTTCCCTCCTTTTGCCATCACCCGAGACTGCGGGGAGGCCATTTGCTGCTGTTGGGAAGTACCTGCTGTGTGATGTGCTCAGGATCTTGTTCTGCTTCTACCTCCTCCACCCTCTAAAATGTGGTACCAGTGGCTTGCACAGGCATTCTGTAACTGGTCAGGGAGGGCAGATGCTGGTTTTGGAAAGCTCCTGTGTTGGCTTTTGGTCTTCTCGGTCCTGGCTAAAATGGCCAGGCTGACACCACTGGTTTCAGTTCTCTATCCATGATGCATAGGGGAAACGCAGTGCCCATCTCCCCTGCCCACCCTGCCCCAGTCAGTGTTGAGCTCCCTTGTGCCTTCCTGGTGGCCAGGCTGCAGGTAATTCTGCTGGCCACGGCAATGGGCAAACGCTTATTTTGGGATGCATGAACCCAAGGGGACACATCAACCAGGAACTGGATGTCCTAAGATTGCTCCTTCATATCTCATTTTGACTTTATTTTAAGCAAAAATAAATGCCAAGGTTCACAGCAGGACAGCGCAGGTTTCCCTTGCGCGTGGTCCTTGCTTCCGCCAGGCTGCGAGGTGCTGGGATGCAAACGGGCTGGTGCGCAAGGCAAGCAGGGCAGTTGTTCCTCCTGTGCCTTTGCTTCTGTGTGGGAGCCCTTCCAGCACCATCCAGTCCTCCTTCCTGCTGTATTATTTTTCATCGTAGTTCACCCAAATCTGTTGCCACCTAAATGAAGAACAGCGAGGAGAGTTCCCCCCTCCCTCCAGTACAATCCAAGGTGGGGAATGGGAGCAGCCGAAGCACAGAGCTGCTCCGGAGGTCTGGCAAAGCCACCCCTGCCCGTCACCCGAGGCCGCTGACTCCAGGCAGGGATGGCCACTGGGGTGCGTGGCAGTCCGTTCTTGCTCGAGGGAGGGAGTGTGTCCATCGGGATGGCGCTTATCCAAGCAGCTCCTTGGTCTTCGCTGCCAGCAGCTTGTCCATCTCTGCCGCAGCGCTGTCTGCCATTTGCTGGATCTGTGGCAACATAGTACAAGTCTGAGTCGTATGCTAGGTGATGCCAGAGTTTAAAGGGAAAGGAGTGACTGGATGACCTCCTGGAACAAAGCCTGAAGTCCTAATAAAACCCAAAATAGCATTGGGGCAATAACTGGCTCTTCCTGGGGGCTCCCACCAGCCCTCAGTGATTCTGTGCCCGTGTTGCATCTGTACATTGAGAGCAGGGACTGGTCAAAGGCTCTGAAAAGGGACATACAACACAAACTCTTGGCGGAGCTTCACAAGTGACTTACTTAACGGAACAACTTCAGGGGAAGGCAGAGTTAGAGACCTGCTGGTGTTGGCACCAGAGAAGAGAGCACTTACCTCACTACCTCCTGCAACCTTTCCACTATTAGAACAAACTAGGTAATAGCAGGAGTGCAGCCTTAGTACATGCTAAGAATTCACACATCAAGTAACAGATGTGTTTATTTCTTGTAAAAAGAAATAAATGGCCATTGTTAAATGTAAATCCCTGCCCAGGGATCAGGTCTCCTGGTAACATGGGATGGACATAGCAAGCACGTAAACGGGGCCAAAATGTGCATGCGCTTATTTGAGTGAGTGCAGATAAAGGCTGGAGCACATGGCGGGGGGGGTTATGCACTAGTTTTATGAGACTGATTAAGATGCTCCCAAGGTCCGAGGTATATGATTATGACATTTCTTCATGCTGAAAAATTTGGGTACAAACAAAAATTAGACTTGAGACGCTACCTCTACAAATGCAGAAAACCATCTGTCTGCTCTGGGAGAACTGCTTCCCAACAGGATTCAGTTACAATAGCATAGCCATTTTTCCTACTTGCACAAATACTCTGTATATCAATGTTTATTTTTGTGAGCACACAGAGAACTGTCCCGAAGCATTTGCAATGTATCTAACTTTAGCTGTTAATAAACAAACAGCTAAAAAGTAATGGCCTGCCTTCAGAGGCATCAATTCAGCAAAACACTTAGGCTTGTGCCTGAGTTTATGCCCAAGTAATTGACTTTAGTGACATCTGCTCTTAGGGAATTAGGCATGTGCTTAAGTATTTTCCTGAATTGGAGCCAAAAAATCCTAACAGAGATAATCTTGCTAGCCTTTTCATTAATAACAAACTGGAGCAATCCTCATTAACACCAGCTGTTTTGCAGTGACCAGGCACTGAGTAAATGGTAGTAAAGCTATGGACGTAGGTTGTTTTGCTCCCCAAGTTCAGCTGGTTTGTGCAACAAACCCTTGTAGTATGAAAGCTTTTGGGGAATATTTTTTTTTCCTGTGTCAGCTTACACTGGTTCATATCATAAATTTGGCTTTGAGATTGAAGCTCCAAATCTCACATAGAAAAAGCAAATACAACAGCCATTGCAGAGTCCAAAAATATTCAGCCCAGGGCCACCCATTCCCCAGCTGGGTTCTCAGTGCTGGAGATCTGTCAGCAAGGGCTGGGACAAACCCACCATTGAGCTGTGAATCACAACATGGCAGAAAGAAAAAAAAATTACCTGCTTTTCTAGCAGCCAGATGGTATCTTCAGACACTTTGTTCTTGAACTTCTTTACCTGGTTGATGCTTTTGCTTCGCACCTTTCTCAGGGCCTCTTTGGACTTGTTGTTAGACTGCTTGGCAAGCTTGGCCAGGCTCTCCCTGTGCTCTCTCGTTACCCTAGCAGTGAGGAGAAAGAAAAAACACCAAAAGGAAAAAGTGTCATGTGTAGCACAGCCAGATTCATTTTCTGCAATGGACTTTGGGTAAATGCCGTGATCCTCTCTGCTGCAGCACCTTTCTGACTGGCCTAGACAGAGCTGCTGTGCAGTACTGAGCTGGGCTGCACAGGGACACCCAAAAGATGGATAAGATAGAGCTCGCTCTGCGTGGAGGTCCTACGTCTCAAGGGCAGAGGGACTTAACAGCTCAGGGCATGTTATTATCCTGCTTTGGTCCACCTGAGTGAATCGGCCATCTCTGCGCAGCATCACCAAGGCTGTGCACCCCACGTCTTGAGCCTAGAATGGAAAGTTCCCAGCACAGCCCTAAGCTGAGGGACTTGGACTGAATCTTACTTGTTTTATAGTTGTTGCTGCAGTGCCTGAAAGTCATGCTGAAATGTTCTGACTTTCCTTTTTTCTGTTGCCAAAGCATCTGTGGGAAAGAGGGAAAATCCAGCTCCAGACCTGAGAGATGGAGCTGAAAGTGTAATCCCGCAAAGCTGGGAGGAAACCTCCGTCCCTTCCTGAAACTCAGCATCGTCTTCCTGCAACTGAAGAGCCTGAATTACGTATATGGAAGCTACAGAGTTTATGTTTCACTCAACCTTATTCCGGCTCATCACGACCAGGTTTTTCCACCAAGATGATGTGAATGCCTGGTTTGACATGAGGACGATGCTAGACATGGCTAGCCACAGGTAACTCGGCCCAGGAGAACTTCAGGTCCACCTTCTCCCCTGATGCGGGGCCAGTAACTGCTGTGGTCCCACAAGAAAACACTCTACTTTCCACCCCATACTAAAAACTGCAGGTGATTAGGGAGTCTGGCCATCTGAATAAGGCACAGGAATGGCTGACATGTCACCTCTGCTCTGGTAATGCTCCAGCACCTACAGCTGATCACTGTCAACATCAACTGCTAGTGCTTAACAATAATATTTTAATTATTTTCATGGCTATTGAAGTTTCCAGACCGCCTTGAGAATGAAAAACCCCGGTGCGCTCACTGAGACTCGCTAGCAAGAGAGCGCCCGTCTGCTCGCAGAAGATATTGCAAAATAAACATTTCACAGGAGTATTTAGAAATTGGCTGCAACAGCCTGGGTCACCAAAACACTGAGGCCAAGACTCTTCCTGCAGAGAGCTCAGGAAACGTGGAGTGAGGGCTCCCAAGGCAGCTCTGCCCCTGCACGGGTGTGCGTTACGGGGCTCTCACCAGTTATCTTTATTTCACGGTGCAAGAAGGAATAGGCTTCCCAGAACAGATTAGTAATTACAGGAATTGGGGATCACTAGAAAAGCTGAGCAACGACCCATCGCCGGTGTCCCCTCGCAGGCATGCTGCCCTCAGCTGGGGGCACCCCGCAGGCAGTGGCTTGGCCTCCCCAGTCTGTCCAGCCAGAGGGAGATGGCCAGTGAATTTCATGTGTGGCAAGAGGCTTCTGGTTAGCGGAGGCTCAAGCCTGGACCGAGCCCCTAATTAGAAGTGAGCGGCGTTACTTGTGGTTTCCTCTGCATCCCAACATCACTGCCTTTAGGGCTTCTTGTGTTCGATCTCCCCAGCCAGAGGTCCCGTGGCACATGTGAAACCAGCAAAGCCGGCTCACAAACAGAGGTCTGGGTGAGGTCAGATTCTCAGGCAGCTTTTTTGGGGGGTGGGGAGTCAATCCCAGCTGCTAAACTTGCAGGAGGGAGCTAGAAATCTCTCCCATCTCCTGCTGGGTGGCGAGGCAAGCCGGTCCACCGCAGGACTGCCTCAGCTCTGGGAGACTGAGCTTGCCGTCAGCTATTCTCCTTCCCGCTCCTGCTCAGCTTTTGCAAATTGTGCCGAGGGTATCACTTGCCTGCTTGGGGCTGCCGAGCCTTTAAGGAAATGTTTTTGTTTATGCAGCTCCGCCAGATTTCCTATGCTTCTTGGCACAGGGTCACAGCTTTCATGCCTCCTTGTCTGTCTTTATTAACACCAATTTCTTTTTATCACTGCGCAGTGCCGTGGAGTTTCTCAGAGGGTTTTATGTTCCAGCCAGACTGTGTGTAAATTCTCAGCAATGCTACCAACAATGCCAGAAACGGACACTTTTTCAAGCAGATGCTGTTTCTGGTTAAGGAATCCATCAACACAAGCCAGGCCCACGGTTTCTAAGGACAGTTGTTTAATCCTGCCCCCAGATCTGGGACTTTTAAGCTGTTCTTAGATATGTTTTCTTTTCTGTCTAGTACCCGTTGCCCCGAACCCCTCTTTAAAGCCAAAAAAAAGCACGAACTGAACCTGGGGAAGGAGTGCCAGAACTGGGGAACAAGGACAAGGTCCCTGCCTGTCGCCCCTTCCGCTCTCCCCTGCGGGAATGCCGCCCTCCCCTGCAGCTCAAGGAGCAGCGGGCTCAAATCCTGCTGTTCCCCCGGGGACGGTCCTGCCCTGGCAGGATCAGGACAGAGCCCAGTGACTGACGTGCCGGGGTGTTCAGAAACACACACCGCCCCACAGGTAACATCTCTTTTTCTGCTTCCCCCAGAGACCAGCGGTTTAAGCACTGCAACCCTTGGATGCTCCTGTCCCCGCATACAGCAGGAGCAGACCCACAGGGAGGATGACACAGGCCACATCTCATCTCCAACGCAAGACGCTTATGCGGGTAAGAGTAATTTCTGTACCTTAAATGCTAGGAATTTCCTGTGAAGGAGAGAGATCAGTTAAAGGAAAGTAGGCTTAACTAAATACTCTGCGTGCATAATTGCAGATAAACACAGGGTGCAACATATATTGCTCAACAAGAAGCAAGCAAGAGACTTCTGATGATGGGCAATCCAGAGCAACGCAGCTGAGAAACAGCTTTGGGTTTTTTTCAAATGAAATTCTTTTTAGTCCTTTCTCCCCATAGTAGGTATCTTTGCATATTTCTTAAAGGGCAAAGGAAAAAAAACTCACAATGAGTCATTAAACTTTCAAATGAGTCATCTGGCTTTCAGTAAAGCATGTATAAAAATATTACTAATTTACAAACAATATCCAGTGTAACACAATGGGTCCAAAAAAGATGAATCTAAAAATGAGGCAATACCATAAAAGACACAAGGTCAGGTCAAATTCGGCCAAGAGATCAACCAATACAAATGTTCCCATGGCTGGTTTTCTTTCTTTTTTTTTTTATTCTTTAAACCCTCAGAGAATACTTTTTACACAAATAAATATTGCCTATGCAGTGCTAGCAACACAAACAGGCGAATGCCTTAGGGAGCAGAGGGGATCCTAGCAGGCAGCAGAAGTAAACATGAACGAAATGAGTGTATTTTTTCTGTTAAAACTGCAATGCAAAATCTAAACTAATAGAGTAAATAATGAAAAGTAAACTCCATGTTAAAATGCTCAGCTGAAACACTCTCAAGCACTGAAGCATAGCTGGACCTGCATAAGGCAAAATATGATGCATATGTGTCCAGCTTGATAGGTCAGACTAAAAAGTGTTTTTAATGACAGGTAAGGACAATTCAGGTTTGATTTTATTTTTCCTGTGCCTCCCCTCATGAAAGAGCCAATTTCTGCAGAAACAATATTGTCTCTTAATTTCTGATTTGTTTGCTCATTTTGCACACCTGCCATAATTTTGGCAATTTCACTGCATCTGTCAGTCATATATTCTTTCGTAAACACCTTTAGAGTTGGGAAAATGAAAAACTTAGAAAATTTTAAAAAGTAATTCAGGGATATAAGAGAGGCCTCTAGCAGAATTTTATTATTTCTGCCCTGCTTTGCATTAGAAGGTTTTAAAAGGTTGAAACTGTCCGCTTGTCTTTTTGGTAAGCGGATGAAACTCTGAAAGACCCACTCGTGTTACTGAAGAGCGGGTGAGTGAACGGGACTGAAGGTGCCTGCGAGGGCAGATCTGCAGGGCACGTCTCCCCAGCCAAAAACCTCTGAAAACCTCTTTAACTCAGGACTCCTGGGGCTGCCAAGCAGCCAGGGGGAAAGGGGCCAGGAGCAGCAACCCTTACATACCAGAGGAACAAGGGAGCACTCTAGACAGATCTTCCCTGGGGAGAGAAGACTTGTTTTCGCTCTGCAGCACCACAAAAGATAGTGACAGACCGTACATGTTTGTTTAAAAAACAGTATTTTTTAAAAGATTGGGATTTGCAGTTTTGGAGTTTCCTCCCCTGCAATTCATATTCAAGGATGACCCAAGTGCCCATTAACAATCAAACCACTGTGCAGCAACCCGGGAGCCTCAGCAATTATGAAGATAATGGTGCCCTCCTCCTCCTCTGCCTCCTCTCCTGAGGAATGGGGGAAGGGCAGGGAACACAGGAAAGGAAAATCAGCAAATAGAATGATAATGTCATTCCCTCTCACCGACAGCAATGGAAAGCTGCAATTAGACTTCTCTGATCAAAATGCTAGATAAAATTCCATAGAATTTTTAAAGTAGATCTAAAGCACAAGAAATACTTGGTTCATCTTTACTGAGAAGTCACCTGCTTGTAAAATGCAGCGCACGTGCAAGGTGTTTGTGCGCACAAGCAGTGTACAGAGATGTCTTTACCTTTTGTGGGAATTGTTTGCAGCACCCCAGCGCCATGTAAGCCCAGGATGTGAGACCATGTACATCCACATCTGTCCAGGGTATTTAGATGGCTCCATCGCTGCAGGGTCCAAGCACCCACAGGAACTCGTGAATTTTCCTTGCACCACCCAAACCTGGGTGAGCAGTGCTACTGCTCCTGTTAGAGGCCATGTCTATGCTAGCGAGTTGCGCAGCACGGTACGAGCGGAGCTGCTGGGAGGTGTCGCTCACCACAGGGTCCAGCCTGGTCCCAGGAACAGAATACGTGTGCGCAGTGGGGGAACACTCGATGCGCGCCCAGATGGTACCTCTCTGGTTTAATCTGAAAGGAATCCCATTCACAGGCAGAGACCCCAGCATGCTGCAGCCCAAAGCACGTTAAACAGGTATCAGGTATCATCAGGATTGCTTCAAAAGCGCTTTCCTGATCCAAACTGAAGCACTGATGTACTGGCACCTCCTGCCTTGTCCAAGGGTTGGGAGACACCTGCGATGGGTGAGGGAAGTGATGCTCAGTCCTTGGCCAGGAGCAGCCTGCTTTTCAATCAAATTTCTATACCACAATTTCTACGCAGCCATCAGTTACAGAATGTGTATTACACAAGAAGAGGGAGTGGATATTTTAGTCAAAGGTATCAATTTTCTCCCTCTTTCTTTCATCACTTACTTTTAGTGTTCTCTGCAGCAAGGTGCTATTCACCCCTAATACTACTGGTTCACTACTGCATTACTGCTGTCTTTGCTGGTGTAATTCAAGGAATTTACAGCAGGGCAGCAAAGAATCAGCTCCTGAATTAAGGCAATACAGCTTCAAAAACCTTTGGCTGTCTCCTGCAAAGGGCTGCAGCCAGCTAGGACCAAGTTTTCCTCTGCAGGGGGAAGATAAAGAACAATAAGACCAACCATCAGATGCCAAAATGTGGTGAGTTAGAGCTCAGACACTTGGAAGAGGTTCCACCAGATGCTTTTAGGGGCTCAGGCTTTTTTTCTGAACCTGAAATACAGCTATTTGGAAAGCAGCTGCATCACAACATTGCAGCAATCGTGCATGCTTACCCTCCGAAGGGCACTCACTGCAACCTATTGCATTATCTTGCATGATGATGAACTCAGGCAGCCATCAATACTCACTTAGGAATTGGCACCCGAATTATTGTCCCGTCCACTTCTGGGTTCAGGTTCATGCCGCTCTCCCTTATAGCCTTCGTAGCTGCAGCTGTGCTCTGTAAAACAGATCAAAAGGTAAAGGGAATTAGGAAATAATCATTCCCATATGCCAGAACTCTGTCAATAGTTGGCAATCCATCTCCACAGAACATGGAAACATTTACTTCTGTTACCAGTAAGATCAGGAAGTTACATTGGTGCAGAGAGCTTTGATCAAACCGAATGGGAAACTACGGCCGCGCTTGGTATCAGGGTAGGGGGGCATGAAGGGGGGGAGAGGGGAAAGGAAGCAACAACAAAAGAAAACTGTTTTGCTTCTTTGAAACTATTTGAATGGTTTGAGGCAACGCAGAGTGAAACCACAATAAATTCCCAAGGCATAGCCTGACTGTGGCAAAGGAGATGAAAGATTCTGAGCATTTAAAAATTCCAGTTGAATGTTTCCCACTAGAAATCACACAGTGCCAATTTAGAAATGTTAACTAACTTAACCACTTCAGCACTACAACCTAACCACATTAAATTGGGGCAGTAGCAGTTGCCTGAGAAATAGCGCCTATGCCCAGCTCTATGTTTATTTTACAGCTTATTACTTAGGATTAACTTCTCAAAACTCCACCACCGCTGGCTGACACTCTGCTCTGCTTAAAAGGTGGGGTGCACAGGTTTGCCTGGTAACTGCAAAGTAATTAAAAGGCTTCCTTCTCCATCCCAGGGCACTGGTGTACCTTTACAGAGTGTCAGGCTTTACAGTTAAATCAGAGTTTTGCCAGGAGCTCCCGCAGCACTCTGCCAGATTGCTTCCTTCTTGACATTGACAATAACAAGACCGAGCGAGTCTGTATTCTTGTGGCACTCGCGTGGCATTTCCTACAAGGCGCATTGCTATTTCTGATACTCTTTCCCATCGTTAACTTTAGCTCCAGGCTGCTGCAGTAGACTGTATTTATAAAGTTCAGCTTTTGTCAACTGAGGCACAAACTTAAGCTCTGCATATTTGTTTAGGTCTCCGATGTGTGACATCACTGAACAAAATGAATGCTCTGCTCGTGTTTTGTAAGACATAACTGCTGTCCTCTAGAAAACAACAAGGGCAGAGAAAATGTAACCAAGATGATCTCAGCATGTTAGGAATGTAAACGTGTTATTCTACGGACAGTGCTTGCTCTGTAGGAAGGAAATGCTCAGTAAAAGCTGTGTTGTTTAACATACATATTGGAGGAGATAGAAAGGGGATATATTGCAATATTGCCCCCATCCTCTTGCAGCCCATGAAATAAATAGCTGTGCTTAAAAAACATAGTCTTGTTTGATTTTGTAACTCTCGGGCAAACAGAATTTGGCCCTGCAAGTCCTTTTCTATGATTATTTTCTTTCCTAGACTGTTCAGGCATTTTTATTTGCTCTTCAATGCCACAAAGTACTGACTATACGCTGTAAATAATGACATAAAGTAAACATGTCTGCAATGCTTTTAAAGAGTTCAATCTATCCATGGAACAGTTATGGTATAAAACAACTGCATTGAGAGAAACAGTTCTAGCTCTAGTTCAAATGAAAAACGGTCCTTTGGCTTAGAAAGCAAATGTAGGCAATACTATGTAGTGTGATATTTAATTTCTCACATGCCCATTTCTCAGCCTGAGCTCCCGCTTGGACACGGCCTAAGTCATGGAGTGACTTCCCCGGTCCTCTCAGCTCTGGCACTCCGAGGGACCTTGGTGCACTCGCTGATGAGGGAGCCTTCATTCTTCAAAGCCATTATACACACTGGATACACTTTAAGAAACACTTAGCTATCAAGTGCCTTACACTGACCTCCTCTGAGACTTTGCTGACTTAATTAATTGGGGAAAGCCTTTGCAAAATAAATAGAGATAAGCTTTGGCAAACCTCCAGACCTGGAGCGGGATGAATAGCTAACCTTGCGCTCGTTACTGCTCCTATCAGCAGGGCTGCCCGGCTCTATCTGTGTGAGCCCGCTGCAGGGGACCACTAGTGCTTGATCCTGAGGTGGGATTAGGATTTGCTGCCTCATTTAGGGGCAAGTCGAACTAAGGCTCCTGCAGAAAATTAAAGGAACTCGGCTCTCCCAGGGGATGGGTCAAAGCACCTAATTCGGGTTCGGCCCTGCAGGCACTGCCAAGGGAGGAGCTCGCTAACCTCAGCAGTGCCTGAGTCAGGCCCTAGGACAACACTTAGCACGGGCCCCGCTTAAGTCCTACCAGGGAGGTTTTTCAGAAGCTCGTAGGCTACATCAGCAGCTTCTTCCATGAGCTCTCAGGGGGTGTCACCAGCCCTTGTGATAAGTAAGCAAGTTTTAGAGGAGTTTGATGGTGTCCCCAGCACAACCACAGACTATTCCAACTACATGCCTGGTTCTGTGCATGGTCACATCTTCATAAGGAACTGAAATGACATAAATACAGTGGGGCAGATGCAGCATTGCTTCCACGTGTGTAATTCAGGTGAACCAAAGGAGAGTGTGTACATGCTCAAGACTACTGGGTGCCGTAAAACCATGGGAAAACCTGGCAGGGCACAGTTAATCCAGGCATCTGGTCTGCCATACGCTCAGCGCCACTTTTCAACCAAGCTCTTGCAGATCCAACTGATGGGAAACCAGTCCCCAAACCAGTCCCCTCATACTGTAGCATTTACTGGATGCAACCCTGAGAGCAATCACAGCCTGACGGGCAGCACTGAACTCTCGTCTGACCCTGTGCCGCTGCACGTGAGATGCTCTGTGCACCAGGCAGGGCTGAAGAGTCACTCGCCCCATGCAGCCAGCACCAAAATACCGTTTCTGGATTGTGTCAGCTGCAAAGTGACACGCAGCCCAGCCAGAGCTCTCAGCCCTGCCAGGTTTGACTGATTTTGTCTAAACGCTCCTTTGCTCAGCATCAACCTGTTTGTTCCCATGGTAATTACCTCCCCTCGCAATGCCTTCGGTAACGTGTTCTTACCTCTGGAAAATTGGTCATGTTCACTATAATGAGTTGCGGTGACTTCTGTGAGATCTGCCCCAGCTGGTTCAGCGGAAACTTCCCATCTTTAGTCATCACGATTATGTGATCAAGGGCCCCTCAAAAGAACCAAACACAGGGGAGTTTCAGTATGATACAGCAGTTCACAGCGATGCTGAAGAAAAACACATATGCAGTGTCCCACTTCCCTTCTGGTGTGCAAAATACAGACATTACAAGAGAAAAAAAACATGTGTTTATTCAGACTTCAGGTGCCATTTATGTTCATGCGTCCCCTGTGGTACTTGCAAGCTAAATATTTCAACATTACTCTAAAGCACGAAAACATGGAAACAGAACTCTTGGTTTTGGTACTAGAATAGGAAAACTAAGCAAGATTGTTAAGAATTAAAAGAAAATCATTATTTTTTAATTCTTAGAACTTAAAAGAAAATAAAAATGTTGTTATAAAAATCAAGACAACTATTGTCTTTAACTTAGCAGTGTTCTCTTAAACCCCCCATTTTTTTGTTCCAAGTCCCAAGAGGAGGTGTTGTACGCTGCCTAATTTAAAGTATTCAGTTTCTCCCCGAGCTACTCTTAATCTGCTCTCTAGTTTCTGCTGCAAAATGTTAACAGGCCAAAAGGCACACGGGACAAGAGGTACTTTATCAGTGCAATTAAAAAAAATACCTACAGTTAAAATAAATAGTTAAGAGACTGAGCTACACTTTCCAACCCCATTAAAGACTGAAGTTCCCCTGCCAGAGCTGGGGTGGTGAATGATTCAAATTTGGTCATTGTTTAATGTTAAAATTTTATCCCTGAAACTTGATACTACTTACAAATATGTACGTTCAGAGTGTTATAGTAACTGTAGCTTAGTCAAATATATTCACATTTCTTCCTAAAACACAAAATTCACTAAGTGAACAAGGCTTGTAAAGGTCACTAACCACAGCAAAAGTAGTTTGTATATGCCAGACACCAGCCTGATGGCAATTTCCAAAAGGCTAATCTAATGGCAATTGGATTTTTCCTGCCCTACTGCACCATTAGCTGACAACCTGCTGCTTCATCACATCTGCAAACAGTTCAGTTAGACACTTTTGACATCTCCCACTTACAAAAGCTATTTCCAGGAAGCTGTTAACAAAAATGGATTCTTCCTGGTCAAGCTCAGGGTGAAGAAAGCCTTTAGTTGGGGATGTCAAGGTTGTAGTAATTGGGTGCCCAGTGAATAACTCAATAAAAAGAAAATCAATTTTGAAAAAATTAGAGTTCTCCATTACTAGGATTGATATCCTTATTTACAGGCAATAGAGCATCATACAAGAAAGTTACCAACCTTGTGACGTTCTAACACTGAGATTTCTGCTGAAATCTTCTTTCAGAGCTTCTACCACTGCCTGCATGTCTTCATTGGTTTCCTCCAAATTGATAATATCCTCAACTAGGGCAGCACTGATATTCACTCTGGCTTGACTCTGCCCTTTACCTTTAGCTGCAGATTAAACATAAAATTAATTTCTATTTCTGACAACAGTTAGTTGTTGCATTAGAATGTAGAAAGAAGATATTAAGACACCTGCTAGATTCAGAATAGAGTCCAAGATAAACCAAAGTAACGATATTTTTTAATGAGTAAATAGCCCAGCTCTTGAGTACATAAGTCAAAATATACTTGTAGGTCACGCTGTGTGCACTGACTCCAGCCTGGACTGTGAAGATTGTTACCTACTGCCCCAGCGCAGCAGCAGCAACTCCCTGTGGTACCTCTCCCACGGGAAGGGCTAAGGTTTCCTGTACGCTGCAACACTGTCAGACAAACCAGCTCCTCCAGAGCTGTGTTCTGCCTAAGTTAGATCAATACTGGTACATGAGATAAAAGGGATAAGAAAAGAAATTCTAGCAACGTACTGAGGGGTTGCAAACACTAGGAAAAAGCCTGCCGCCTTCACCTTTTTTGGTAGCTAGCTGTCTGGTCAGCAGCATCTGATGGACACACTGCCTGCAACCATCCAGGAGCAGGGCTGGGCAGCCTGCAGGAGCCTGCGGCAGCCCCCGTATCGTTGTGAACAAAGAACGATAAAGCAGGGAAGGCAGATGACGGAAGCACCTTAGTGCCATAGCCATCGTTTACAGCTCTTCTCTAACTCACCTGGAAAAGAGAAAAGGCATGCTAAAAAGAAACAGATTCAGGTCTTAGCTGTACCTATCAGTGCAAGGTGACAGTTCAACACTGTAGGCAGCGGGTGTGGGCGTAGTGCAGTGACCAAGAGGTAAATTCAGCGGAAGGGGCTCAGTGACAGCCAGCCTGTACCCACATTATCTGCGCAGCCTTTGCATATCTGACCAGAGCGGCACGGGTCAGTGAGGCAAAAGCCGTGTCTGCTGAGCAGGAACAGCTCGTCAAACTATCTGGTATTTGCACGCCAGCTGAGTAGACACTTTAATTTCTGTCACAGGAGGTTTCAGGCCCCAACCCCCCCCGCAGGCTCCCCCGTGTTTACAGGAGTTATTTCAGCCTGGGCCGCCCGGGGCTCGGAGGCGTTACTGCAGCTGCGGCTCTGCTGCGCTCAGATCTGCACAAACACAGACGGAAAACTCGGTCCCTCCCGGACAAGACCGCGATGGCTGCGGGAGCCGGGAAGCCGCCGCTGACGGCCACCG